GACAGCCCTGGTCCCCACCATGTGTAGATGGAGAACTCTTGGGGGGAGGGAGGAGCTGTCCCCTCCTTCCTGATCAGGGCTGGACTGTGGCCAGATGGGAGTTCATCCTTTCTCCTCTGCTGACTGCTTGCTGCTCCTCCCACAGGAGGTACTGACTGGTGACTTTGGCCGGACATTCCTTTTGTCCTTCCTATTGATAAGTGGGATCCAGACAGGCAGGAAGAGAGGGACAGGGAGGGAAGGGTCAGCTGGATTGCAGAAAGCAGGGAGGGGCTGCTACACTTCCCAGGGACCCGCCCTGGGGAGGCAAGAGTGGGAGTGGGCTGTTTCCTACAGACGTTTGGCGTGGGATCAGACCTGGCTACCAGGGGGCCTCTGTACTGCTCTTGTCCTTGGTGGAGGCCTGTAGAGTCAAAGCCCTTATAAGAACCCTATCAGAATCCCACCCCACCATGTCAGTGGGACACGTGGGGACTTACCAAGTGTTCAAGGAAGGACAGATGGCAGCATGAAGTAGAAGACAAATTCATGGCATAGAATCATGAAGTCTAACTCTTCCAGTTGAGCCACCTTGACCTTGGCCTGGTCCGTGTCTCTCTCACCTTGGGTTCCCTCAGTCAGAGATGAGAGGCCTTCTGTCAGGGCATCTCAGACTCTGCTGTACAGTGTGTGTTCTAGTCACCCTGGGCCTTGTCAAAAGGTCTGACAGCCATCTGGGGCTCAAGATCCTCTTCCTTCCTTCCTTCCTTCCTTCCTTCCTTCCTTCCTTCCTTTTTTTTTTTTTCCCTAGTGCTGGAGATTGAATTTAGGGTCTGTGCATACTAGGCAAGTGCTCTACCACTGAGCCAAATCCCCAGCTCTATTCTCTTTTTCCAAGAAGAAAGCTAAGCTCCTATGTAATGCTGGTGCTGCTGGTGCACGGACCACTTTGACCAGCAAAGATAAAGACAGCCCATCTCATCTGAGCCTTCAGGACCCAGAAAGTGGATCACTTAAGCCCTTGGTGACTTTACAAGGCATCAGAAAGGTGACTTGGGATTAGTTTCAGGCTCTGGGCACAGAGTTGGCAGATCTCAGGTGTGGGGCGCAGTTAGGAGGGGTCCCTTCAGCCCTCAGTGGAAGCCGTGTTTGAATAGAAAAGTCCTTTTTTGGTCCCTGGCTGGTTTAGCCAAGGGTTGCTTCTGTCTGCAGGGGCCCCTCAGACATCTGAAATGTGAAGTAACACAGTACAACCCACTAATTATCGTGGTGGTCATGGGAGGCCCTCTGAGGAGGTGACACCCTTTATGAGGATAGCAGTCATCAGTTAAATACTGTAATTCTTTATGCCAAGAATAGAAATGTAAGCAGGCAGTAAACGTGCCCTGCTTCAGCTACTGCTTGTCCCCCTTCCCCCTGCCCCTTCTATGGAAGGGCCCAGTACTCTCAGGAGAGAAGGCAGCAGACAGAGCCCGCTAGGCCTCCCACTCTGGGCTTCCTTGCACTGTCCCGTTCACACGGCTGTGTTAAGGCACACAGCATGGTTTGGAAGTTATCTGCTGGAATGTCTGAGGCTCTTCAGAAAGGACTGGGAGGGTTCCTACCTGCATCTCCCACAGCATTTTGGGCACACAATTCCATGCCAATGCCTGACCCTCTCAGCAGTAACAGAGACTGTTAACTCAGAGAGAACCCAGGGCAGGACAGGGTCAGCAGTCCAGCGGGTCTGGTTCCCCATCTCAGCTCCACCCACTTGCCAGGCCCTCCTTCACACGTGGCCAGGAATGGCAGACCCAACCAGAGAATTCTGGAGGTCTGCCCAGGTACTTCTACCCCTTTAAGATCGGGAATCTTCTGGGATCAGAGGAAGAGGCCAGCAGCCCTGGCAGTTCCCATTGGTCAGGGGATTGGAGTGGGGGTGGGGTAAGCACAAGTCTCTGGTTTCCTGCTGGAGGATGAGTGTTCTAGCTCAGTGGGTTCCACAGCTGCCACAGCAACTCCACTTAAAGGGCTAACATCTAGAAGGGAGTCCCTCCTTTAGCACCTAAGAGGCTAAACTGTTAGGGCTGTAAGCAGGGTTTCCAAGCTGGGAACCAAGGGATTTGGGCCCCTGTGGCAACCTGTCCTCACTCTCACGGGTTCAAATTCCAGCTTTGCTGATGTTGACTGGGGTCCCTTAAAGGGCAGGGTGTCCTGGCCCCTTCTTAGCTCTACAGAAGGCCACTGGTGGGGACCAATGCCTTCAGTTTGAGTGTACCTGCATGTGTGTTAATGTAGGCAAGTGCTGATCTCCATGTTGTGTCCAAAGGTGGGAACAAACCTGCTTACGTAACCGTGTGCACAAGTGCACATCATGTATTTGTATACACGTGTGTTTGTATGCACGTGTTTGTACACACGTGTGTTTGTATGCACGTGTGTTTGTATACACGTGTGAGGGTCAGATGCTCCCAACATCCCTGAAGCCAGTACCTGGGAGAAGCAGGTTCCTTAAAGGGGATGGTGTGTCATTTTGTAGCGTGGATAGCCACCCCCATAAGCTTTTGGTGTGCATCTGAATGGGATGAGGGACTTACCTAAACCAAGGCCCCACATTTAGGTTGGATTCCCAGCTCCGGCGTGCAGTGAAAGACCCTCTCCCAGGCCTTGGCAGGACTGCTGGCACAATGCCTGGGTGCGAGCCCAGGCTCAGAGCAGCAGTGCTGTGTCAGCCTGTGCCAGTGCCCTGGGGGCAGGGCAGGCCAGGCTGTGTGAACAGAGGGTGTCGTCAGTCCTCTGAGGGAAATTGGAGATGAGGCCAGTTCCTGCCCGACGGGTCTGTCACCCATGTCTCGGCTTACATTTCCAGGGAAATTGGTTGCCCTGGGTGGAGACTGGCTCCAGATATCAAGGCCCTGAGGAACAAGCCCTGAGATCCAGGGAGGGGAAGGGCAGAGCATAGGGTGTGGTGTGGGGACACCCTTGGCTGGGTCTCCCTAGCCTGGGGATGGCAGAAAGACCAGGCTTGTAAAAGGAAGCCAGTGCTAGGAGTTCAGGGTGCAGAAGAGTTTCTAGGTGCCATGTTCGCCTTCAAGCCTACAGGCCCTGGTAATGCTTCTTGGGGGCTGGTGCTTTTCAGTGTGGCAAGGAAAGCTTCACTGAGCCTCAGGAGTCCGCCCTACTGCTACTGTGCTGTGTGACTCTAGTCAGCCCTCTTTCCCTCTCTGATTCTCGGTCTCTGCTTGGTCCTCTGTGCCATTTCAGCAGAGATCCACCTGGATTCCAGGTGTCCTGCCTGAAGCTTCTCAGACTTAGACTAGGGGGTGGATGGCTGCTGAGATATGAATACATCCAAGTTGGGATGGTTCAGGATGGTGGGGAAGGAGGAGTCATTTTTCTTGTCCTTGTTCCTAGCTCAAATGTTACAGATGCTTGGGGCACACGAAGAGGTCACTCTGGTGCCCACATGCAGGTCAGCTGTCAAGGACTGGCTGGGGCTCTTCACTTTCACCTGGCTGTGTTTAGGTCTCAAGAACCCCTATTTTTCCCCCCAAGAGCTCAGATACCTCTCATGCTTCTCTTCTGATGAGTTCAACCTACTGTCAGGGCCAGACGTCTCCCCTGGGACCCAGAATCTGTCTCAAACCCTGCTACACCGTCAAAAGAGAAAGGGCCAAAGGGTGGTGTTTCCCTAGCAACTCATACAATGGCCTTTTGGAGACTCAGCAACCTCAGGACCATCTCTAGCTAAATGACAGGCTCTCAGGCCAAGGACAGGCCTGTCTGGCTTTTCTGGGTCATTGATGCTTCCTTTGCCTTTGACAAGAAACACCATTGGTTCCCCCCATTAGAAAGTGGAGACAGCAAAGACATCCTTGTAAAAATCTGAAGGCAGTTGAGGAGAGGTACCTGGGACTATCCCCCCATCTTCCATCCTTGGGGTACCCAAGATCCCCCACTCTTCTCCACTTTGCTGTTCTAATCACATGAAGTAGGTGGGAGGGGACAGGGCTGAGGAGGCCAAAACTCAGGCTAAGAAATCAAGAGCTGGGAGCATTTTATTTTTTTTCTTGAAGCTCCTTGTGGAAGAACCACCTTTCTACTTAACTGAAGGACTCTGGTCCCGTCTCAAAGACTGGCCCACCTGCCCACACAGGTGGGGGCAGAGGATGTCTGAAGACCCCAGAAGGTGTGAATTCAGGGCTTGCCTGGCCCTGTCCTCTTCCTGGCAAGGCTGGGCGGGATGCTCTTCACTCCCTCCAAGGGAGTGAAGTGGCTGTGGACGGGGCCCTGTGCACAGTCAGACACAACACACAGCTGTCCAGAGCCTCTGAAGCGCCATTTATCCAGGCTCTGTGAAGCCAAGTGTCCCCAACTGCCTGCTCCAGGGGAACCCAGACACCACAGTGACCTTGGCCCAAACCTTCCATGTTCTTAGCCCAGACTGCTCAGGGCTGCCCACCAATGCTTATTCAACACTCAGCCCATCATGGTGGGGCCCTGGGATGGACTGCCTTCAGACTGTCCTCCATCCTACACCCCCAGGGGCTCCATCATCATGTTAATTAGCTTCCTTGTGATTTCCCTTAAATAAACCATCCCCAGAGCCACCCACCCACCCTGCACCCTGAATATATTATTCTATGGCTGAGGCCTTCTGGGGTGGAGGGCCCCTCCCCCCCTCTGCTCCTCTACTCCCTAAAACATCAGAGTGGGGTGAGAGGGTTCCCTCAATCCCTGGGCATACAAGGGGAGCCTGAGCTGGGGTGGCAAAGCAGGAACTGTCTCCTCTGCTTGCTCCCATTCCCAGACCACTCTCTTCTCCTTGTCCTCCTGGCAACCTGGGTCAGGCGTGACTTACCCAAGGTCACACACCCAGGATGGGAGTCCTGACCCATCTAGGAGGTCACTCTGCTTTTGGCAGCCCAAACCAGCTCCCCAGCAGTGGGATTGACTTTAAGCTTGTCTCTCGCCTAGGCACCCATGCTTCTCCAGCTCTGAGTGAGCTGAGGGAGCTTCTTGTCTTAACTCCACTCTGTCCAAGACCCCTGGGCCTGTCTCCCAACACTCTGCACCCCTGGCATCTCCAGGTCTCTCTTGCTCTGGGGATCCTCAGACAGCACCAGGGCATGGAAGCAGTGGGCCTGAGGTGTGGGCAGCGTCTGGGCCCAGGCCAGGCCTCACACCCAGTACTGGCCGTTTCGGAGGGCAGGGTTGGGTGTCCGGCAGAACTGCAGTAGCTCAGGGTCAGGCTGGCCTCCTGACGGGGGCCCCTGGCCAGGCACCGCTGTAAGTGGGATGGCTTGGCCTGGCTCTACCTTTCGAAAGGTCTCTGTGTCGCTAGCCAGGCCATTGCGGGGCTTGGCGGTCAGGACCTGGACGTCGTGTTTGCCCGTCTTGTTGCGTTTGTGGAGGTAGAAGAGGAGGGGTAAGATGAGCGCCAGCAGCAGGAGGACCAGGCACACAGGGATGATGACGCTGAACATGTTGGCCTCCAGGAAACCCAGGAAGCCACTCCTGGCCACAGTGGGCACAGGACTGGATGCTGCTGTGCCTGGCTCACCTGTGGGGGTACTGCTGTCTGGCTTCCCTGCTTCTGTCCTAGCAGCCTCAGGGACACTGAGCAGGGCCACACCATAGGGCCGGGCTGCATCATAAGGTTCAGTGGCAAAGTCCAGCGAGGCCACAGCAGGTGGGACACCCCGTGCCCACAGCTCCAGAGTGAGACTGTCACCTGCGGGGCCAGGAGACCTCCCCTCTGGCCTGCCCAGCTCCAGCCCCAGCTTCCCATCCTCCAGGTCCTGCTGAGTGAACTGCTCCACAAACTGGCTGCTCCTGGGCTCTGTCCTGGCCCGGGACACACGGACCACACGGCCATGTCGGGGTCCTGCTAGAAGCCGGAAGCGGGGCACGCTGCCAGTGCGGTTGGCCAGTTCACCAGCATCTAGGACAGTGGAGTCCAGGCGCAGGGTGGCACCCTGGGGCCATGGCCCACCAGCCCACACGTGCAGCAGAGCCCTCACGGTGACATTCACTGTGGCGGATGCATTGATGCCCCGGGCCAGTGCTAGGACTGTGAAGTGATCGTGAGAGGAGGAGAAGTTAGTGAAGGCGAAGACCACATCTCCCTGGTCGACCTGGAGCTGGCTGAAGGCTGAGGCAGGCTGTCCCCTGACCAGGAGCTGTCCGTACAGGGGCCCCTGGGTGAGGCGGTATGCTGCATCTGGCTCCTCGCGATCAGAAACGACCTGGAGCTGCTGCCGGCTCAGTGAGGAGCGCCCCAAAGCTTGGGGCACTTCCAGGGGTGCTCGGTGCTGCACCTCAATGGCAGATGGCAAGATGTCCACTGCCAGGGACATGGGCAAGGGAGGGCTCGCCCCATCAGACATGCTCAGCTGGAAGATGCCTGCCACGCTGCTCCCGTTAGCCACGAATGCCAGCCGTCCTGCATCCACGTCGGCCTGCGTGAAATGGGTCACAGGTCCTGGGCTGCCTCCCGCCAGGATCAGGAAGCCACTGTGGGGTGCCCGCTGCACCTCATACTCAATCTCTTCTGGAGCTGAGTCTGGGTCCACCACACTCAGCTGGGCTCGGGAGACAGGGGCGCGGGAGCCCTGGGTGAGCCTGAGTGGGATGGAGGCCTGTGGCCGAGGAGGCCGTTCGTTTACATCCCGCACAGTGATGATGAAGGCCTCTGAGGTTTGGGGTCCTGCCACGGAGGTCCCTGCTGGCCCCTGAAGGTGGGCCCGGAAGCGGAAGCCATCCTGCTGGGTGCCCCCACCACCATGGGCATACACCAGCTGCCCTGCAGCCAGCTCAGACTGCAGGAAGTGGGGTCTCCCGGCATGGAGAGGCTCCTCAGACACCAACAGCTGGCCTCGGGTGGGGAACTGTGTGATCTGGAAGAGGACGTCGTGCTCTGGGCGCTGGGGTGCTGGCACACTGGCCAGCAGGTTGGAAGCATCCAGGGTGACCACTGTGATCTTGGCCCTCTGGCCCTCGGGGACCCAGAGACCTGCAGGGGGACATATTGTCTATGAAGGATCTGTCCATCAAAGGAAGAGCCATGGACCAGAGGGGGACCCCAGGACAAGCTTGGGCCTCTTCCTCAGACCAGGTAACCCCAAGATGGGGCTCACGTTTCCTGGGAAGACAAGTGCTGTGTCCCGCCTCTGATCTCAGTGCTCCCCACCCATCCTCTAAATAACTTCCCAGGTCTTGGGACTGAGCTGTGGCCTGTTGCCCTCTTCTTGGGGCTTCCCTCCAACCTTGCCAGCTCATCTTGTCATTCACCTTTGTTTCTCCAGAGCCGGCTGGGGCGCTGGGGACAGGCAGCCTCAAAAGACACAGTCACAGCAAGAGTGGCAGCCACATCAGGGGCAGGTGGCGAGGACAGCAGCAGCTCTATGGCATCATGGGCTTCCCAGAAGGGCTCAGGGGACATCTCGTGCTCGTACAGGATGTTCCCAGCATACACCTGAAGGAGACACTAATGTTAGGGGGTGACGAGCAGGCCCAGCTGTGGTGCTCAGGAGCCTCCTCCCAGGCTGGTGGAGGCACTGGGCCCTCTGGTCTGTCCAACAGCCCAGGGCCCAGCCTCACTCTGGGCTCTCTGCTGTGCCCAGGTCTCTGTGTGTGACTTGCTCTGTGCCTCATTAGTTCAAGGGTCACTGTTAGGCAGTCGTGTGGCCTGGAAGAGCTGGGTTCTGGAGCAGATATCTGGGTTCCCATCTTAGCTCTGCCAGGTGGACAGAGCTCCAAGCCTCAGAAATGATGCCATTCATCCAGGCTTCCATCTAACTCCAGGACCTTCTCCTCTGCAATGGTTCCCATCCTCTCTTACCTCCAGTGACACTTCTATAGTCTCCTTCTTCCTCCTGTACTGCCATCGCCCCACTCAAATGGATCATTCCCTTCATCTTAAAGAAAAAGTTGCCTTTTTTTTTTTATGGTACTGGGATTTGAACTCAAGTCCTTGAGCTTGCTAGGCAGATGCTCTAATACTTTGAGCCACACTCCCAGCCCTTTTTGCTCTAGTTATTTTTCAGATAGGGTCTCACTAACATTTTGCCTGGGCTGGCCTCAAACCATGATCCTCCCGATCTCGCCTCCCAAGTATCTGGGATTACAGGCATGTACCACTCTGCTCAGCTAAAAAGCTGGTCTTGATTTCATTTTTGTACCAGCATTTGCCTTCTCTCCCCTTTCATTGCTTTTCTTTGCAGCAAAACTCCCTAAGAATAGTTTACACATGTCCTCAGCTGGCTCATCCTCATGCTTTTGTTCCCATGATGTCACGAAACCTGTTCTTGCCCAGAGCACTGATGCGTTAGATCCAAGGGTCGGGTCTCAGGCCCTGCTGACCAGCTCACCAACCATCGCTTGACACAGTGGGGCATTCCTTCCTCTGACAGCTGTCAGCTTCTGGGCTGTTCCACTCTGCTTCCCTCCTCCCTCGCAGACTCTTGTTAGTTTGGCTGGGCACTCTTTCCTACCTATGGGCATCTGCTTCCCTTGGGGTCTTCAGCCCCTTCAGCCTTGAGGCTGAAGACCCCGAGGTCATGGGTCAGATACTGGACCTCCAGCCCACACCACTCTCTCTTTCCTGAACCCCAGACTTGGTTCTCCACCCTCCTTGGCTATTCCACAGGGTGTCTAATGGACACATCAAACTCCACAGGCCCTGACCCCTCTCCTGCCATCCGCAGTCCTCCACCTGACAGCCCCGGTCCTCAGTGTCGCTCAGGTGGAATCCTCACCGATCCCTGGCCTCTTTCTTTCCCTCATCTCTTCATCTCCTGCCTGGACTATTGCAACCACTTCCTGTCTGTGTCCTGCCTTGACCCCTGTGCACTGCACTCCCTCTACAGTGTGCTCTAAACACAGAAGGAGCCTTTAAAATGTAAAGTGAGGGCTCTCTTTTTTCTTTTGAGCCTGGATCTGGCTATGTTGCCCAAGCTGGCCTTGAACTCCTGGGATCAACTATCCTCCCACCTCAGTCTCCTGAATATCGGGGAGTACAGGCACTCACCACTGTGCCTGGCTTGTTAGGTCACTCTTTTGCTCAAATGCTGCAGTGACTGACCTTTTGACCACAAAGTCTCTGTTATTACCCTGTTACCCCTGCAACCTCAACTTACCCCCAAGGCAACTCTGTGCCAGCCACACCTGCAATTCTTTAGGGTCCCCTTTGTGCTAAACACCAAGAAATGTTCTTCACTTCTATAGAGAAATCTGTTCCTCTCCCCTTCTAATCAAAATGCGTGCTCGAGCTTTATCTTTTGTTTTCTCCTTTTAGGAGACACAGGAAATATTTTCCTTTTTTTCAGAAAAACAGGACTTGCGCAATAGCAGGACGATGGAAGAGTGAGATCTTAGTGTGCAGAGGACCCTAATGTCTTAGTGTGAGAGACTCCCAACGCAGCAGGGCTGTGGAGAGTGGGGAGAGAGCTGGTCCCCACAGACAGCAGACCTTGTGCTAGGGAGGCAGCTGCTCCTCTGGGGTTTATTACAAAGGGACACAGGCCTTTTAAGAAATCAGGAATCAGGTTTTTGTCAAATCTCCCAAGGGATCAATGTTGACAATTAATTTAAAAATATCAGATGGAATCGTCTATGGGCCAGATGTGGCCAGAAAGGTCCGAAGGACTGCCAACTGTAACCTTTGGTCCAGGCTGGCAGGTAGACAGGAAGGGAATGGAGACGCCAGCAGTGGGCTCCCAGAGCTCCTGTGGGTAGGAGATGGGAGTGAGGCCAAATACAGGCCCGTGGAGAGGGGTCCCTGGGCTGTGGAGCAAGCAGGGTCCTCGAGTGAAAGAAATCTCAGATAAGCGGTAAGAAGACACTGTCCTGGCTTTGCTTCTTACTAGTGCCATGCATGCCGAATGAAGCTACCCGACCATCGTGAGCCTCAGTTTCCTTATCTGAAATATGGGGACACCTGATCTCCGCCCTGCCCAGCTTGAAGCCATGTAGGACAGTGGTGCTAATCTAGTCGCTGCCCAGTGCTGCCCTGCCCGCCCTCCACAGCGGAGCTGCCACGTAGCCTCTTTCCAACCTCGCCAGGTGGCACTGCCAGCCTGGCCCCATGGTGGCCATTCACTCTAGTCCTTGTTACTGGGGTGGGGGTGAGGAACTGCAGGGGGGAGGGGCACACATGGCCTGCTCCTGTACCCTCCCCCTTCCTGGTATCCAATGACAAGGCTCCCAGGGACTTGGTGCCCAGTTGCTGTGGCCACTGGCTTGCTGAATATTTCATTGTGGGGAGTGGGCCATGGCAGGAGCCAGGTTTGGGGAGCACAGAGAACGCAGGCCTCGGGGATTGATGTGACAGAGCTGAGCAACCCAAGTCACCTCCTTCCCCATCTGTGAGCTGTTTGCTGGGCAGGACTCTGGCTTTGGCCTGCTAGCTCTTCAGTTCACCTGGTAATTCTTAAGTGGTGCATATCCCCCGTAGGGTGGGAAGGAGCTTTCTGGGCTCAGGAGGCCTGGGCGGGGAGAGGGGACACAGGAGATTGCAAAGGGACCTAAGGGTGCACTCTGCCATTTTTGAGGACCAGGGGCAGGCCCTAACAGGAGGTTTTTGGTGCTGCAGTTCCTGAGTGGCAGGGGCAGATGTGTGCCCCTCCTCACCTGGAACGTGCTGGGTCTGGGCACCCTAAAGGCCCCTCAGTCAGAGCGCTAGGTGTGACATCTGCTTGGCAGAGCCTGTGACAGGGCCCATCCTCTCCACCCTGTCCCGGAAGAACTGCTCTGTCTTCTGGGAGAGCTAAGGCTGCCTGGGTACCCACAGGGCCCTCTATCCTTAAAGCAGGGTTAGTTGAGATGATGGTTCTTGTCTCACACTGGTAGCACAGAGTGCTCTGATCCCAGCAGCTCAGTCTGCCTCTCCCCATGGCTCACAGTTCCAGCGGCCCTGGTGCGTCCTGGGACAGCTGTGCCCTGATGGAGGCACAGTAGCCTCCTTCTCAGCTTGGCCTACTCAGCTGTCTGTCAGCTACCTGCTTCCAAGCTCTCCCTGCTCCTCACTGGTACCTGACCTGAGCTGCAGACTCACTCCTCTGCCCCCAGGCCTGACTTTACCCCTGCAGCAAGCACTGCCTCTCACCAGTGACTAGGGCACCGCTACTGCCCCTCCCAGTGCCCCTTTCTAGTCTCTGGGATCCAGCTGCATCTCCCTTCTAGAGACTGAGCCCTAGGACCTCATCCCCGCTCTGGGCCCAGCAAGGCTCACACATACCCACTGAGGTTGGATGGGGTGTGTGCGGTGGCTGTGGAGTGGGGCCCTTACCTCAGCCTGGGTGAAGTTCACCAGGACCTCCCCAGTGCTGCCCTGCTGGGTGTGGAACAGCCGGCCATGCTGGGGCCCCCGCAGAACCCTGTAGAGCAGGTGCTGGGGGTCAGTGCCTGCACTGGAGCTGGCTCTCAGGCTCTGGCTGCTGAGTGGCTGGACAGACTCTGCGAGAGGCAAAGGGGCCTGTCAGTCTTGGACAGGAGCCAGGCCAGGCTGGAGATGCCCAGAGAGGGTGTAACATCCTAGTGGGCCACCTTCAGGTCTGCTCCAGAAACCTGGCCCCCAGGAACACCCAGGCTTGGCAGACCCACCTGGGCAGACGGTCAGCGTCCGGCTGCCATCCAGAGAGAGGAGCACTTGCTTCTGGGCTGTCACTTGGAAGAAGTGTCTGGGAGAAGTGTGCTTGCCATCAGAGAGGTCAAAGTGGAAGCCTCCGTCCAGGGCACCTGAGGACAGGGGTGTATCTGGGTTCTGCTGGTCCACAGTGGTTCCCCATCCTCAGGGAACTCAGGGGGCTGAAGAACCAGAAAGCCAATCTCTTGGCACCCACCTCTGTGTGAGAACAGCACGTGCCTGCCATCCAGCTGTGCCTGTGTGAAGCGGCGGACCTCAGAGCCTGGTGTTGCTTGCAGAACTACCCGTCCATTGCTGGGCTGCTCAATGGTATAGACAAGGTCTTCCGGCCCTGAGTCACCATCTGTGCCCCTGAGGGCCTCGGTAGGGATAGGCACAGTAGTCCCTTCCCACATCTGAGGACACAGACCAGTAAAGGTTCTTCCTTAATCATACTCACCCACCCCCTTCCTCCCAGCCCTGGGGCCCCATCAGGGCTCTGAACCCCCTGTGTTGAGGCCCTTGGCTGGGAGTTGGGCCTGTGCCATCTGGGCTCCCTTGCACCAAGGGCTAGCCACCCCATTTACCTTCCCCTGACACTCCGGGCCTCAGGCTTCCATTTTCTCTATTTGCCCTAATCCTGCTTGTCCCCTAAGGTCAACTAGGACCCTCCCTACCTACCTAGGAAAGCCTCCTCTCTGATCTTCCCCAAGTTTTCACCCTCAAATCTCTACCCAACCCTGATCCACGGATGCTTCTTCTGCCTCTGCCTCAATGGCAGGCAGGGATCCACTTCCCACGGTGTGTCTGGCTGGGGTGGGCACACGATGGAGTGGTAGGTTTTAGTCTGTCCAGGATGATTCTAGTTGAGAGGGGTGTGGGGGGTGGGAGGAGGAGAACAGAGGGATAATGCCGGCTCTGGGACCCCACAGTGCAGAGGCAGCATTGGGATGGGTCCTTCCCCATACAGAATGAAAGGGGAACCCTCAGGTCTCCCTTGCAGCAGGGTGGAACACTGTTCCTAGGCCCTGTGCCATATCCTGCTAAGTCCATCACTTGGGGGCATGTGGGCAGGGGCTCCCCAAAAGAAAACAGTACCCTGGCAGTCCTGGGCTCCCGCCCACAGCCCAGGAAAAGTTGAGGCAGCATCTTGGGGTAGCAAACACCGGTGGACAGCACCACCTGGTGGCCAAACTACCACACAGCAGTCCTGGCTTATGGTCCCACTTCTCCACTGGGCTCCTTATCACCTGACTGCCCCCCACAGATACATCCTATATCACAAAAGACTCAGCACACCGTGTCACAGACAGCCAAAATTAGCCCTCTTCTAGAACTTTCCATAGCTACTGTTGATGGGGGGTCTACGCCCTAGAAGCTGGCATTCAAAGTTCAGTCCATCCACTACTGTGCCACGTGGGCTTGGTCAAATGGACCCTTCTGTTCCACCAGTGACTACTTTTATGGAGTGCTATCCTTGTCTGGACCTCAACTTTCATCTCTGCTTTGTGTACAAGGGGCAGGAGCTTACAGAGCCCAGCAGTAGCCTTTGTTTGCTGGGCTTGCAAGAAATTTTATCAGGCCAGGCATGATGATGGGTGTCTGTAATCCCAGCAATGAAAGAAGCATAGACAGGAGAATCATGGTTTGAGGTTGGCCTGGGTGACATGTGTGAGATCCCATCTGAAAAATAACTAAAGCAAAAACATGTCCAGCGCCGGTGGCTCAGGCCTATAATCCTAGCTACTCAGGAGAGAGAGATCAGGAGGATCGCAGTTCAAAGCCAGCCTGAACTGCAAACAGTTTGTGAGACCCTATCTTAAAAATACCCAATGCAAAAAAGGGCTGGTGGAGTGGTTTAAGTGATAGAGCACCTGCCTAGCAAGAATGAGGCTCTGAATGTACTACTTAAAAAAAAAAAAAAAGAAATTTTATCAGGTGCTTTGGTCCTGAGGGTCGTAGGAAAAGATTTCTGCTACAGATGAGCGCAGGGAATAGCAGGACCAAATACAGTCATTCACACTTCTAAGTGTCCAATGGAAACCTGACACCTGCGTTTTCCTTTCAGCACATATCACATTTGTCCTTGCAACAACCTAGTGGTGCATTTGGCAACGGTCTCATTTTGCAGAGGAGGAAACTGAGTCTCAGAGAAGGGGAGGGAGATACATGTCGGGAAGTGGTGGGTCCTGGCCTCCTCCTAGGGGCAGAGATAGGTGGTCCCAGGGATGGTCTCACCTGCAGGCCCGTGTTTGTGGTGAGGACAGGGGGTTGGTCATTTACGGGCAGGACGGTGATGGTGAAGGTCACTGGGTGGCTCTGGCGTTCCACCTTTGAGGCATTAGCCATCAGGACGAAGCTGTCTGTGAGCGTCTCACTCCCGTCATGCACATAGCGGATCAGCTGTTCTTCCACCTACAGGCAGGCCCAGGACTTAGACTTACCTTACTGGTCTCAGGCCCAGCAAACTCATGGCCTGTTGCTGGGTGCAGGAAGAGGCTGTAGCCTTCAGAGCCTCAGTTTCCATGGGTGGAAAGTGGGAACAATAGTTTCTATCTCCCAGAGGAAGAAATGAGATAAGGTATATAGCAGAGAGTCTCTTTTGCACACATCCCCAGGCTGGGAGTCCCTGGCGCTCCCCCACTGCTCCCAGGGCTGAGCTGAAGTCCCAGGGGTTCCCAAACAGTCATACATACCTCTTTCCAAGAGAAGGTGCTGAGGGTGGCATCTGGACGTTGTCCCTCTCTCTGCAGGGCCCCGTGCTGGGGCGGCTCCAGCACCTGCAGCTCAAGGCCTGGCAGTGTGGGGAAGTAGGGGCCAGTGACTCGGAGCAGTGGGGGGGCCAGGTTGCGGGTGCCGCTCTCGGGGACGCTGAAGTTCTGTATCTCCAGGGGGATGAATGTGGGAAGCACCTCCAGCTCCACGCGGATGCCCTGGAGGGGAGTGCCCAGGCCCGAGGACACGTCCAGGGAGAAGGTGTCGCTCCGGGCCTCAGGGCGGGAGTGCAGGTAGAGGACCTTGCCTTCATCCACAGCCTCCTGAGAGAAGCTCTGCACAGGGTCCAGGCTGGGCGGCTTGTCCGCAGGGGTGCCATGGGACACCATCACCAGGTAGCCAGCGCTGGGGGGGCTCTGCACTGAGAACACGATGTCTGCTGGCTGCACGGCCTCCTGGGCTGCCTGGTTAACAGAAGCCACAAGGGGAGGCTGTCATGGCTCTCAGTAGCCATAACAGACTCAATCTCCATGTCTCCCTCACTGCCCCAGGCTCTGCTGCACACTTACACCACACTCTGGCAAGGACACAACCTTCTCTCTCTCTCTCTCTCTCTCTCTCTCTCTCTCTCTCTCTCTCTCTCTCTTTCTTCCCGTTTCCCCCACCCCCCCACACCCACCCACCCACCCAGGCTGTGTGCTCTGTCCCCATGGCTGGTTTCTCTGGGGCCTTCCATCCCTAAACCCTGCAATTACACTTCTGACCGCTAGAGGGCACCCACTACTCCTCTTAGAGGTACAGGAGCCCACACTCCAAACCCTAGGTTTTCAGACCTGGGTCCAGCCCAAGGGCTGCTGGGTGCTCCTTCACTTGATTGTCTAGCAAAAAAAAAAAACAAAACAAACAAACAAAAAACGCTAAACACCACCTCTAAACACACACGTCTGATTCTCTGATTCTGTGCCTTAGCAGGGCATGTCCCATCTGCTTGGAATATCATCCCCTTTTCTTGGCTATTGACATCCCATATTCTTCAAAGGCTGGTAAAAATTCTGCCTTCCCCAGCGTGAGGACTTCCAGACATCAGATATGTTTAAGTCATAATCTACCCAGAAGTCCAGACACCCAGAACTAGAAGAGCCTTCAGAAGAAATTGGCATTGTAGGAGAATAAGTCCAAGAGAGGGCAAGGGATTAGCCTGAGGTCACACAGCAAGTCAGCAAGCCTGCCTTGCTGATAGAGTGGCCTGTGGTTGCTCTGTGAGCTTTCTGGCTGGTTATAAGCCCTCCACAGACCCTCACAGTCTTGGTTTGCATCCTGGGAAAAGAGCTGAGGACATGGGGGATCTGTGTCTGTGGTGAGCAGTCCTCCCAGATGCTTGGGTTTTGCTTCAGAGACACTGTGGGTCTGGCTGGAGCCCAAAATCTGCATGGTTGGTCACAGCATGAATGTATGTGTATGTGACACACACAGCAGATTCCCTGGAAACTCACAGGACCACGACACATACAGATGCATACCCAAGGCGAGCACACACTCCTAACCAGGAGCCACCACGGTCCTAGCCTAGACACACAGCAAGCTTGGCAGGAAGGCTGGGATGGACGGGCCCCTCTGCTTGCCCCAGAGCCCTGCTTTTACCTCCAGATGGTCCCTTCTGATCTCCGCTGCTTCTCCCTGGAAGACATAGATCTTCTTGTGCTGGACGAGCTGCAGTGGGGCCAGAGGACTCTCCAGGGCAATAGTCACCTGTAGGGTGGTATCTGTGTGCACTGGCCCAGCTTCCACAGAGAGAGCCAGGGTGTCACGGGGGCTGAGGCTGCCGTTGTGACTGTAGAGAACAGCCCCGTCCAGCAAGTCCTGCTGGGAGAAGGCTGTGGCCGGCTGGCCAGCCCTGAGCAGCTGTCCCCAGCGAGGGCCAGCTGTGACATGGTAGTTGATCTCATCCCCACTGCGGATGTCTAGGTTGGTGTCCAGATGGAGTACAGCTGTGTCAATGGTGCCTTGGCCTCCTTGAGGGACCACGAGGCTGGAGCCATTGGCCACATGGAGGTAGGGCTCCGAAGCTTGTACCTCAAGCATGGCGGTGGCTTGGTGCTGCCCATCAGACACCTGCAGCTGGAGCCAGCCGTGGTCGGCCCCTGAGTGCACGAACAGGACTTGCCTCTTCCGGAGGTCCTCCTGGGTGAAGCGGTAGATGGGTCGCGTGGGTTCCTCCACAGCCACGATGCTACCAAAAAGGAGGTCCTTCCGGGTCAGTACCAGCTGAGCGTCAGTGAAGCCTGAGTCAGCATCGCTGAAGGTCACATCGTCTGTAGTCAGCAGCCTCTGGCCCCCCCGGGCCACATGGAAGACACGGCTGATGGTCTGCACAGGGGCGTGGTCATTCACAGGCTGGATGGCCACTCGGAAGACACCGCGGACCTCTTCCCAGGCCATGTCGCCACTGCCCTCGCCCTGGCGTGTGGCCACAAATGGGATATCATCTTCTGTGGTCTCTGAGTCATCGTGCTGGTAGACCAGTCGTCTGTGCAGCAGGTCCTCGTTGCTGAAGGATGTCACTGTGGTGGCCTTGCCCTGTGGCCCCCGCCAAGCCAATCTTCCATGGCGGGGTCGCTCCATGACCTCATAGAGGTAGTTGGCACTGTTGAGACTTTTGACAAAGAGGTGGTCAGCGGAGAGGACGCCCTCCCCACCCTCAGGCACAGAGAGGAGGACATTGGTGAGGATGGGAGCATCTGGGTCACCACCAATGTGGATGGGGAAAGTGTAGAGTGGGGAGAAGTGTGGCGGAGCCGTGACACGGAAACGGAAGGAGTCCTCTGCTGCCTCGGAGGCGCGTACTGTGGCCTCGTAGGTCACCTGCCCAGCCTGCAGGTCGTCCTGGCTGAAGCCTTGACCGTCTGAGAGTCTCATGCCCTGAAGCTGAAGGTTACCTTTCCTGGGGGCCTGAACCACCTCATAGTGGAAGGTGCTGGGGCGTGGGCCTGCCTCTTCCTCCAGGGTGGCCTCCAGGTGGGCTGTGGTGAGGGCCTCCTTCTGCGTGTTCTGAGTATACAGAGGCTCCAGCCGCAGCATCCATACCACGGCTCTCTGGATGGTCACCGGGAAGGACAGATTGCTCAATGCCTCCTGACCCACCTGTACCTCCAGGGCCAGGTTTTCCACGGTGTCCCTGGGGCGGTGCTGTGGGTCAGTGCTCAGATACCTCACACGGCCCTGCTCCACGTCACGCTGGTGGAACGCCTGTGTGGCCCACCACTCAGCGCCCTCCACCCCACCCGCCCCCTGCTTCTGCAGCTCCCCAAACTGCAGGGCGCCCGTGACTCGGAACAGCACACTCACGTCCTGGCCCACGGCATTGGTCTCCACGGACAGGTTGGTGGGCAAGATGGGTGCAGCAGAGCCCTGGGCCAGGTGCAGCCCTGTGCTGTGGCGGATCCGTATGGCAGGCCGGACAGCCACGACCTTCAGAGTGGCCGGGGAGCTGGCCTGCAGCCCATCACTGACTCGGAATGTCAAGTCCTGAGCGGGGCCACCGCGGTGGACATAGACAATGTTGTTTCCTTCCAGCTCCTGGCAGGAGAACTCAGTTGCTGACTCCCCAGGCTGGTCGCGGTGCTCCACAGGGAGGCCGGTGGAGGCACCTAGGAGCTGGAAGGTGAGGCCCTCGCAGGCAGAGTCCGGGTCATAGGCCTGGAAAATCTCGGGCCCCAGAGGCTTCTGTGTGCCCTCCAGGATCACCATAAGGCTGCCGTGCGGGAAGACGATGCGGGGTGCATCGTTGACAGGATTGATCTGGATGGGCAGAATGTACGTTTGGCCTCTGCGCAGGCAGCCGGGCATGGGCACCCGAGCTGTCACCGACACCTCCAGTACCAGCTGGTCAGAGAGGTCCTCAGAGCCATCGTGGACAAAGCGGGCTTTGCGGTTCACCACATCCAGCAGGGTGAACATTTTCCGGGCCTGGGCACCTGGGATGTCCAGCTCCAGCTCACCGTGGCGGGCCCTCCGGCTCACACTGAACAGTACCTGAGACTTGCGAAACTCAGCCTCGGTCAGGTCCAGCGTGGGCTGCACGTGCCGCCACTCGAGCCAGGCTGTGCCGCCCTCGGCCACCACCAGTGGGCTGATGGTCAGCAGCTGGGTGAAATTGGCAAAGACAGGAGGCAGCCCTGGTTCAGGCACACATGGCTCAGGCAGCACCACGCTTGGCCACGTCTCGGGCATCAGGGTGGAGAAGGCTTCATATGGGGCATAGGCGTCCTCCTCGTATTCATCCTCCTCGGGCCTGCAGCCGGCCGCCATGTTTCGAGTCACCCAGGCATCCCGGAGTCCCTGCCTCTGGCCATTGACACTGAGATCCTCCATGCAGCCGACCAGGGAGGTGTTGGCAACCCCCGATGCCAGGCCCAGGCGGTGCTCCTGGAGGTGACGGGAGGCCTCTGTGTCTAGCCCCCCAAGGAGGAGACTGCCACGTGGCTCCAGGTAGTTGAGGACCCCACGGTTAGAAGTGCGCGTGGGGTACTGGTCCACGGAGATCTCCAGCCGGTGAATATCTAAGCGGATACTGACCTCGTGGGGCTGCCCATCGGCCACAGGCACACTGTTATGGAGCAAGACAGTACCCTGGCCCTTCTCCACCACAGCACGCAGGTGGCCCTCAAATATGTCCACGTAGATGAAGTCCCCACGCCGGCCGCCTGCTTGGAAGGCCAGGGGTGCCTGCTGGCTCCGTGTGGTGAGCGTGAACTCCAAGGTGCCTTCATTCTGAGTGCCCCACGCAGGGAAGGCGGCCAGGGAGTGGGGTTCAGAGAAGCCCAGGGCCACATCGTCACCAGCAGAAAACTCCTCAGCACAGCCCTCATGTACATCAGGGGTCAGTGGCCGGAGGAGGCTGCGGCCATTGAGGATGGCTACGTGGAGGCAACCCCTCAGGGGACGGCTGGTTCCCTTCACGTAGGGCAGGCCAAGGCTTCCAGAGCCCCCCACAAAGAGGCCATAGGTGACCTCAAGGGGGACTCCTGGGGCTGGGGCAGAGGTGTTCAGATGCCCATCAACTGACAGCACGGCCCAACTGTCAGAAACAGTGAGCAGCACAGTGTGGGGGACACAGTCACCCAGCTGCATCTCTGCTGGGGTCTGCAGCCTCAGTTCCTCCTGGCCCAGGACAAGTCTGACCTGAGGAAAGACCGGGAGATCAGGATGGAGAATGGCACTTTGAATCTGTCACTTCCTCTACAAGGGGACAGTGGGCCCCCCAGGTGTGGGAGTCCCTGTAAAAGGGGACAGGACCCAGGACAAGGGTTTCTCGTACCATCCTTCTCACCTTCCTGCCATCTTTATTATCATCCCTCAAGCACTCACCAAAGTGAACTCTGGATTAGGCCTGGATGGGCTTGGGGACCCTGATGTGAGTCAGACAGCCTCCACCCACACATAGCAAGATGCTCCCCTAAATATTTACCTTCTTTTTGTGGTACTGGGATTTGAACTCAGGGCCTTGAGCTTGCTAGGCAGGTGCTCTACCTCTTGAGCCACTCTACCAGCCCTTTTATTGTGCTAGGTATTTTCAAGATAGTGTCTTGTGAACTATTTGCCTGGGCTGGCTTCGAACCGTGATCCTCCTGACCTCTGCCTCCTGAGTAGCTAGGATTCCAGACGTGAGCTACCTGGCGTTACCTTGGTTTTTTTTTTTTTTTTTTGGTGGCACTGGGGTTTGAATTCAGGGCCTTGCACTTGCTTGGTGTTCTACCACTTGAGCCACTCCACTAGCTCTTTTTTTGGCTTTAGTTATTTTTCAGGTAGGGTCTCACAGTTTTGCCCAGGGCCAGCCTCCTACCTATAGCCTCCCTAGTAGCTGGGATTATGGGTACATACCATGATACCTGGCTTATTGGTTGAGATGGAATCTCACTAACTTTTTGTCTGGGTTGGCTTTGAACTGCAATCCTTCCTTTCTCTACCTCCCAAGTACTACAGGTGTGAGTCACTATGCCTGGCTCATCTTGTTTTTATTCTTCCCTTGTTTCTTGGGTGAGGGGTGCCATAAAACCCATGTTGGAATCTATCTGTGGAATAATAGGTCACTGGGAATCTTGTGATAAGTCTTCCTAAGTAGGGCAAAATACCTTGGGCTCACTGTGCAGGAATGGGAACGCAATAGATGCTGCCTTGAAAGTTTAGTAAAAAAACCTCCCTGACTTGGGGTCGTGTGGTGCTTCCACAGTCAGATGGCAGAATGGATGGTGACAGAGGACAGGATGGGGGAGTCCAAGTACCTCTGCAGAGTGGATTAGCAAGTGCCGGACTGCACCAGGCCAGGGCTTGACAGTGACACCTTGTGGCAGTGAGAGGCAAATGCAGCAGCACATTGCTGAGGCTACAGTTCCTAGGTTCCCTGTGTACAATCGGCTGGACCCCACAGGTCTGGACTAAGACCCTGGGTTCTCAAACTCATCGTAATTAGTGGGAGACTCAAGGGACATCCAGAAGGTCCCTTGCCAGTGAAATGGAAAGTGGGGAGGCAGTGGCAGGAGGTGCTGGTACTGCTACTGTCATAGACAGACAGTGTCAATGCAGGGTGACTGATGCAATGCCAGAGGGGTACCCAGGAAGTAATGGGAGCCCAGGAGAGGGGATCTAGGCCGAACGAGCACCAGGGGGACACTACCTAGGGGAGGGCAAGCTCACACAGATGTCAAGGAGAGGTGGAAGTTAGGTGGGCACAGTTGGAAGGGTAAGGAGCAGTGGCAAAGGCCTGCAGCCACAGACCATAGATGGTGGGGGACAGGGAGCAGTTTAGCTTGGAGCACAGCAGGCAGCTAGGGATGTGAGGAGAAGCCATGTTGGAGAGGGCAGGTAGGCGGGCACAGTTGGTTCATGAGGGACTGACACTTTCTGAGATGCTGCTTACTATCTGGTCCAGAGTGGAGGACCTGAGACCCCAAGGTGAAAGTGACTTGTGCAAGGTCACACAGCTACGTGGGGGTCATTCTGAGCTAGAGAAAGAATTCTGTCCTTGTTCCCAGAGGGCATCACTGACCTGCAGGTGTCCGGAGTGCAGCTGCAGCAGGAGATGGTCAGCCTGGCCTGCTGCCAGGAGAAGCAGGGCTTCAGGCTGTGCCGTGGAGAATTGGAGCTCCAGGTTTATGTTGGTCAGGGCTGTGGCCACGGGCACCTCCAGGTGGCTCTCACCGAAGAAGGAGGCTGGGTAAGAAGAGGGAGCCAGGGTCAAGATCAGGTCTTACTGAAGGAGGCTAGTTGCCATGGAGATGGACCATGGACCACCGCAAGGGTATTCCACGTTGCTGTGGACCCTATGTGGCACCACCCGTGAGCATCAGTCAGACCCCAGCATCTGGTTGCTCCTGGCACCACACCCTCATCTCATGTCCAGCCCAGGCCTTGGCTGTGAAGCCAGCTGGCCACAGAAATTTCTAGCATCTCAGGTCTTCTTGGAGGTTCCTAAGGCCACAGGTCGCTGCTAGGTCTAGCTCTTCTTCCCTGGCCCCAGAAGGATCTCCATCCTGGGTTGGGCACCTCCCAAGCCCATTGCACAGGGATGGGGACACAACAGATGCTGTTTTGAAAGTTTAGTAAAGAAAGGCTCCCTGACTTGGGGGCCCAAGGGGAAGCCATGGCTGGCCCGACCACCTGGCTTGGTGGTCACAGCCCTCAGGGCCCTGGGAACAGAGCTTCAGGACAACCACTCCAACCTGGCTAATTCCAATTCACATCGCTTCTCTAGGTGCCCTTCCATGAGGGCCCCTGGGCACCTCTGCCATGTCTTGACTCCTAGTTTTTTTTTTTTTTTTTTGGTCCCTGACTGGTGCCTGGTAGTGATGCTCAGACAGGCAGGACCCCAGTCCCTGTTTCCCTCTCAGGCTATTCTTCCAGCTGCCTGGAGCAGCGGTGAAGGGCAGCTTGATCTGAGTCTGCCAGGGAGCAAAGGCTCTGAGGGAGGCCAGATGGAAACCACATGCGGTATCAGACCCAAATGGGCCAAGACTTCCTCCATTACTCCGGGATTGCTTCCTGCTCAGAGCTATTACAAGTCCCTGGTGAGTAGGCAGATCCGGCCCCTTTGTCTCCACCATGGCCAAGGAGCCAGGGATGACAACGGCTGAGTTCCCCTTCTGAACCAGGCCAAGCCGGGCTGAAGCTGCGCAGGGCCTGGAAGGGCCTGCGGATCTGCTGGTTAGGCCAAAGAGGGCCTCCCCGAGGTAGCAGACCACGGCTGGTCTGCCCAGGGTAAGAGGTCACCAGGGAGGACCCCTGTTATACCATACTGGGACACTTCCTCCTTTTAAGTTGACACTTCCTCCAGGCAGTCTCCTAAATTTAGCCTCCCTTGATCTCCAAGCAGCAGCCATAATTTCTGCTCCATTTTCCAGTGTTTAGAAGCAAATATAATCTTGCTTCTGTCCGCAGACATCCAGGGCTGGGAGTCGAGAGGAACGAGTGAAAAGGAAGCTCATCCCTGATGGGTTTCCCTGAAGTCTGTGAGCAATCACAGGCCGATGGCCTTGTTAGAGATAAACTGGTGCCAGCCACACATGTGCTGGTCCCTGGCCAGCCCGAGCCAGCTGACATCCGCCCGAGGAAGTAGCATCAGCCACTGTGGTGGAGGGGGACGGAGCGGGGCGAGCCTTGTCTACCCCGTGAGGGACGTCCAAGAAAGATAAAGAGCTCGCCTGCCCGGGCTGAGCCGAAATCCCCCCTGGTGTCTCCTCGTGCCAGCACTGCTGGTACCACCAGCACCTTGTCTGAGCTAAAGGGGTCAGGTGAGAACACCTGCGCAGGTGCAGCCAGCAGGCTCTGCAGGCACAGTGCATCTTGTATCAGTGAGTAGCAGACCAGGAAGCTGGCACTTGTGGGTACCTGTGCGGGTTCAGGGGATACCTTGTTTGTTTGCTTCAGAGCAAAACACAGCCCACTAAACTAAGGCAGCCACAGCCAGGAGGCTGCAGGAGGCTGCAGGATGGAGCTGCCACCGCAGAGGTGGGCTGGAGTGGCTCATAGCAGCTGGCGAGAGCTGAGTGTTGTGTTCTCGGGGATTTTGTATGCCAGGTGATGCTGTTCACGGCGAGAAATTTCTATCATGGAAAGGAGTAGATATTACAAATCAGGGCCTTCCTCCCCACAGAAGGGCTGTTGCTGAGCCAGGAACTGCCTGACACCCAGGAGGAAGGGATATCTCTGCCACCCACACTCTTACCCTGAAGGTGTACGCTAGCTTCCTGGGACGTGACAGAAGCCAGGGATCTGGGCCAGGGCTGGCTCTAACCACTGAGCCACCTGCCCCCAGCCCCCCTCGTGCAGGAGAGAGAGAAGCAGCCTGTTTGGCTAGAGTGGGAGGGTGGCAGGAAGCAGAGGTACTTTCCAGAGAGCTGGGGTCTGAATGGGCCTATTGAGGGGTTGGGCCCTACTGTTTCCTGCGGGGAAGGGCTCACACTAGCAGCCTTGTGCTGCCTAGGAGCACAGACCGGGCAGCCCCCTCGTCCTAACAGAGGGTTCTGAGGTCGGTGCTGGCTGGAGCTTTGGAAATTTTGACATTCCCCCACCACACACACACCTCTGTTCTTCTTCTGCCCTCTTACCATTTCTGACAGGCTGCGGTCACAAGAACCCAGAATCCCTGTCATGGAGGGAGGAGGTAGTTAGAGGAGGGCTTCGAATGGATGGGGGAACAGGGTAAAGAAGTAATAGCTAGGAGTCAATCCCAGAGGACTTCCTGGAGGAGGTGAAGGGTATAGTGCTGCAGAGAGAAGGGGAATAGGTAGTTTCAAAGGCAAGGCCAAGTGAGAAGCTGGCAGAGATACAAAGGTCCCTGTTGGGTAGGGTAGAGGAAGTTTCGCTCATCCTTAGGGGTTCTGGATAGCTCAAAGGCAGAAAAGTAGAGGGAAAATCAGCTTGGTCCAAGCCAGATCTTACAGCCCGATGGAATTTGGCCTATGACTCTCCTGGATTAAGGAGACCCATGATTCATCAAAACACCAGTCCAGACCTGCAGCAGATGGGTGGACTGCCCTCTGGGTCAGGAGAAGGGGCCTGGGTTCCAGTGTCAGTAGTACTATCCTGTAAAATGAGAACTTCTTCCCTCCCACTCCCCTCTGTCTGTGGGGGTGAGTCCTGGGGGTCCCTCCCAGGTCTGCTCTCAAATGTGGATCCGGAAGAGGGTTCATGGTATAATTGGTGTGGTGGTGGTGGGTTGTCAGGCCTTTAGCATGGGAGAAGCAGGATGCCCAGGGGTCTGGAGGACAAGTGGGAGGCGCAGGCTGCATGGATGGGCCTGTCTGGAGGAAGGCATATAGGTGAGCTTCCAGGCTAACAGGTGTGTGTGTGTGTGTGTGTGTTTGCGCGCGAAGCGTGTGGGTGGCTGCCGGGGTGTTTTGGGTTTGCGTAAAGCTGTGTGTGTGTCTGTGTGTGCATGTGTGTGGGCTTGGAGCTGCCAGGACAGAGCAGCAATTGTGTCCAGGCCTGTCCTGCCTCTCGGTGTCTACCCGCTGTTACTTGGCCGGGCCCGGCTCCATGAAAGAGGTCGTGTGTTCCTGGAGAATTCCTGCCTCTCCTGTCTGTGCCCATCTTGAGGTCTGCTGAAGGTGGAAAGTTCTAGCTGCTTCCCACCCTTCCTCCCAGCAACAGGGCATTGCTGTCTGGGCCTTAGGGTGGGTGGTTCCATCCCTCTTCCTGAGACCCAGGGCTGGGCCCCAGAAAGAGCCTGTGTGCTTCCCTGCCAGTCCCCCTCTAGATGGGCAAGTGAGGCCTGGCTCCCCAGCCAGCCACCCTCCAGGGTTGTGCTGGCATCTCCTGGCTCCATTGGTGACCATTCCAGAGATATGAGTGAATGGGAACCTGGGTGCTGCTCCAGCAACTGCCAAACACAAGGCTTGCTTCTCTGTGTTGTTGTTTTTTGAGGTAGGGTCTCGCTATGTATCCCAGGCTGGCCCCCATCCTGCCTGAGGTTTGCATTTCCTATGCCCACCCTCTGCCTGTCCTCAGAAACCCAGGGGCGTGGGGACTAGCTAATTGTCCTCGCCCTTTGTCTACCTGTGTTGCTGCCTCTGCCTCAATCTCTTCCCAGTTTTGTCCTTGCCACCCCCCCACCATCTGCCCCATCCCACAAACCCTGCCCTAGGACAGTCTGGAGAGCCGGGCCTGGGGCCTCTGGCCATTTGTCCCCTGTGCCCCTACTCTTTGGATGCTGAGTCTCCCATATCAAGTTCTCTGCAGCCCAAGCCTACAGAAAACTCCACTTCCCAGATGGACACCGGGAGGCTCCAGGGAAGAAGCCATCCGAGGAAGAGCAGCAGAGAGAGGCTGCAGTTCCAGCCCAGCCATTGTCTGAGCCCCACCCCCAGACTCCCCCTCAGCACCCCACTCCCTGGCAAAGGACCCCTGTATGTTTCCCGCGGCATTCCCCACTGCCTGGGGCAGCCAGGCGGGCCCCACAGCCCGCGTGCGTCACGGGAAGCCCAGCATTCCTGGGTGTCTGCTGCATCCTGACTTTATAAGGGAGAAAGCAGGAGCCCAGAGCCATGGGCAGAATGGCCAGCAGGGAGTGCCCAGGACCCAGCCGAGGGTGGGGACAGGAGATCTGGGTATTCAGAGGGTGGGGGATCACCCATGCTGATTCACACATTCACTTACTCACTCATTCACACACAGATACCGTAATACAGGGATGGAGATGGGGGAGGAAGACCAACAGGAGAGACAGAACACCTGAGAAAGATCTGAAGTCTTAGAATGAGAAATAAAGACCCCTCTTTATAAAGACTGGATGCAGGGATGCAGATCAAGGTTGAGGAAGGCCATGGAGCAGGAAAAGCCAAGAGGGCCAGAGGTGGGAGGCTGGCAGGAGTCTGCTACTGTGGCCAGTGAAGTATGTGTGGGGGGGACCCAGCCAGCTGGGAGGGGGGAGTGCTGCTCTGGGGGAAGCTGGATTTCTCTACCCTGGATCCTTAGGGTTTGGCACCAGGGGTGGCAGTTCCTGGCTCCAGGTCTGGCTGAGCATCTCCTTGAGGTAGCTTAGTGGGTGAGTGCTTGGGAGGCTGAAGAAGGAATAAAGGAATAAAGGGCTGTCTGTCTCCCCTTGAGAGTGTATGGAGGAAGCAGAGGGCCCCACATGAGGACTGAATGCTCCTGTGTGAGAACAGGAAAGGACCAGGTGCCCTGCTCCAGCAAAGGCCCTCCCTGAAGTCACC